ACAATCTTTGAACCCTATTTATACAGATGTTATGAAATACAGAGAAACTGTCGCTAGACTTCCAGTTTAATTTCTCACCTTAAGCCTTTTGATGCTTCCTTTTTTAGGAAAAAAAAAAGTCTCGTAAGTAGATATCAAGCAGAACTTGGAGCATTTTATATATAATATAATCCACACAAAGGGTTTTTTTTTTTTTTTTTATCGGTCCCGTTTGTTTTCAAATGTTCTGACAGTCCTTTGCTGGGTGGTGGCTTGTTTTTGAGAAAAGGAAAGAGAAGGGTGTTGGAGAGACATGGATAGTGGGGAAAGAGGGAGCCTTTCTGTGTATTGCTGCTGTTCGCTCGAGAAGTTTGGGCGAGTGGTGTGTGTGCGCGCGCGAGTGTGCGTGCTTGTGGTTGAGGGTCTCCGGTGTATGTATATGTCTGGGTGTACAGTTTTTAAAGTGTTTGTGTCGGAGGATGGTTCGCTTTTGTTTTCGGACCACGCGTTCGATTCTCATCTGGGCGCGAAGGCGGAGGAGAGCTCCCGGCACCGCGGGCGAACCGCAGCCCCAGAGCCCCGCGCAGCTCCACCTCGCGCCCAGCCCGGGCCCCGGGGGCATCACTGGAGCCCCATGCCCTCCCGTCCCCCGCTCGCTCGCCCTCCGAACCTCTCGTTCGTTCTCGGTGTCTCTACTCGCTCGCGTGCTCACGCCTCTCGCCCGGCCTCTAAGAGTCGTTGGGGCCAGACGCTGCTTCCTTGCCTCCCGCGGAGGCCGCCGCCGCCGCCGCCGCCGCTGCAGCCGCTGCCGCTGCCGCCGCTCGGGCTGCACTGACGCCGGAGTCATGCAGGATGAGGTCGGGGGATTCGGAACGGGGCGTCTCCAGGTTGCTGGCGTCCGTGTCACTGTCGCTGCCCTTTTTGCCCCCGCCGCCCCCGTTGTGCGTCTTAATGTGTTTGCTCAGGTGGTCGCTGCGCATGAAGCGCTTGTTGCACACCGGACAAGCGAAGCGCTTCTCGCCCGTGTGAGTCCGCAGGTGCCGCTGTAGCTCGTCCGAGCGCGTGAAGCGCTTGCCGCAGAAGAGCCAGTTGCACACGAAGGGCCGCTCGCCCGTGTGCCAGCGCAGGTGCGCCTTCAGGTGCGACGTCTTCCCGTACACCTTGCCGCAGCCCGGGATATGGCAGCTGTGCAGCCCCTTGCGCCGCAGGCTCGCCCCGGCCGGGCCCAGCCGCTCTGCCTCCTGGCAGTTGGGGCAGTCGCAGGTGGCGCGGCCTGAGTAGCGGCGGGCAGAGCGTGCGGAGCTCCCCCCGGCGGCGGCGGCCGCGGCGCCCGAGATCATGGCGCTGGCAGCGGCGGCTGCCACGGCGGCGCTGGAGTCCGAATAGGAGGGCAGCACCGGCTTGAAGCCGTCCTGGGCCAGCAGGTGCTGGCTGGTGGAGAGCAGGTGCGAGGCGGCGGCGGCGGAGGAGCCGAGGCCGGTGGAGCTGAAGGCCGAGTGCGTGAGCGAGCTGAAGTCGGGGTTGTAGGTGCCCAGCTGCGAATGCAGCGAGGCCTGGGGGGCGCCCGAGTGCAGCGAGCTCTGGAGCCCCCCAGCGGGGTTCTGCACTTCCAGCCACGAGCCTGGGCTGCCGTGCACGTCCCACCACGACGACGCCGCGCCGTTGGTCACCTCGCCGGCCGCCAGCGTCGAGTGGAAGCCCGACTTGTACCACGACTCGTACGGGTGCGCCATGCCCACGCGAGGGTACAGGCCGTCGGCCGCCGTCGTGTGCACCTTGGAGATGAAGGCCGACTGGCCACCCGCCTCCTGCGGGGACACCCCGGCCGCCGCCGCCGCGGCCGCCGCCGAGTTGGAGAAGAGGCCGCCGTAGTCGCTGCTGAAGGCGGACGACGTGGGCGACGTGGAGGCCAGGCAGAAGGCGCTGTTGGCTGCGCCCGAGCCGCCCGCCAGGCCGCCGGAGCCACGGCCCCCGGTGGCCACGGCGAAACCCGAGAGGCTGGAGCCGAGGTTGCAGCTGGACGAGGAGCGCTTCCAGGGGTGAAAGCCGCCTTTGGCGAAGGCGCTCGACTCCGGCAGCGTCGTCAGCGGGCTCGTGTTGCCGATCTTGTTGCAGGTCGCCGCCAGCATGGCCAACGGGGTCGTTCCAAAGCGCGGCTCTTCCTAGAGTGGGTGGGATGGGGGAGGGAGCAAGGAGGAGGAGGGCAGGAGGAAGTGGGGAAGAAACAAAGTGCACCCGTGAGCAACCTAGTCCCCTGCGGCGGCTCCCGGGGGAGCCGTGGCTCCCCGGCTCGCGCCTCCTCCCCACTCGCTCGCAGAGAAGTCGCCGTGGCCCGCGCGGGGCAGGGGCGATCACAGGGACGAAGGTCCGGGCGCCGGAAAGTTGCTCTTCGCTGAGCCTATAAATCAAAGATGCCTCCGGTTCCCCGCCTCAGTCGCTGCAACCCTGCCTACAGCCGGACTTTGGTTGTCGCCGTAAACCGGCTCCTCTCCCAGAAGACCCCAAGTCGCCCTTTGGGGTGAAGCACGAAGGTAAACAGAGACAACAAACACCAGGTGAGGGCGGAGGCGGCCGAAAGAGCTGCCAGGGACGGGCGAAACTTGCAGCACTCCAGGGTGGCTACGACTTGACTTAATAGAAAACGTTTGGTTTTAAAGTTTACGCACACACACAAACACAGCGATTATGAAAACAACAATACGAGGATAAGCGGCCAGCAACATATTTCAAAGTCATGGGTGAATTGGGGAGCCGCGGAAATGTAAATGTTTATTAGCCTGACTAGATGGACTGCAAAACGATTAAGACTGTTTTCTGGAAACACCTCTGTCGCGTAATAAGCAAGGCCGGGGGTGGGGTATAAATCACCAGGGGAAGAAAAGAACCCTCTAGCTTTTCTTTGAAACAAAATAAAAAAGGACTTGCTTAAGAAGGCCTTTTCTTGCAAAGGCATCTGCTGGGTTCCAAAAACTTGGGAAAAAATCAGTCCCAGAATTGTGGAAAGTGCTAATAGAAGCTGAAGCTGCAGTCCAGCAGCAACAGTTTCTCGGGAGCCGCAGACCCCAGAAGCCATAACGAAAAATTACTCCGGTTAAAACAAGCAAATGCGTTGCCGCGCTTGCGACTTACCCCGAGTATAGACGTGGCCATAGCAGGTCTCTGGCTGCGCAGCAAGGCTGGGAGCGGGGCTGAGCCTGGCGGCTGCTCGGAAAAATTGGTTGGGTCCCGCGCGGCTCCCGCGTCCCCGCGCTCGCGCCGAGCGGACTCCGGGCTCCCGCCGGCTAAACTCAGCCTAAGTGCGAGGAGCACCCGCTTTGAAGTGCCGCTGGCTGTGCCTCTCGCCCAATGAGGGCGCAGGCAGAGCAGACGGGAGCTGCCCCGCAGCCAATCAGACGCGCCGAGGGGCCCGAGCCCGGGCTCCCGGCGCGTGCCAGTCAAGTCCGCAAGCTAGGACTGCGGGTGGGGGTGGGCAGGGGGGGGGGGGGGGCTGGGGACTGAAGAAATTACAGTGCAATTAAAAATTTACACACACGCACCAAGACAGGTTTAAGTACCAATGAAACCCAACCACAGGCACCCCCCCCAACACACACACACAAGCCACACCGAGATTTTGCAACTTAGAGTTGACAGTCCTACTCGACTCCCCACTTGTAGGAAAGGAGGCAGGAGGGGAGGAGACATCGAGGCAGAGGCCGCACCAGCAAGGCTCAAGTGGTGACAGAAATGTCAGCGCTCACTTTGTGTGTCCAGGCTCTTGCCTACAGAGCACAACTTCAGCTTGTATCTATCAATCTTGCTTGTGATTTTTATTTTCGTGTGTCTTCTACCCAATTCTTTATTCTACTGGATTCAGTGTTACTCTCACAGTTACACTGGGGAGGGGCGCGAAGAGAGAGCTCCTCCGAGAGAAGCGAAATAGGCCTCTATATACAGGTTTACACCCACAGATTTGTTGGGAAGTCCTGGAGCCTGCTGCATCCCGCCATTTCCCCCCAGCGGTGTAAGTGTCTTCCTAATTGTCGCTCTGGCCTCTGACCCGGGGGGTAATACAAGTGCCACTCACTCTAGAGGCTTCTGGTGGTAATTGAGGGCACCCTTTGTACGGTTTCGCCAGCGCTTAGATACCAGGTTAACCCAGTTGTCAAATATGACTAAACAGTGGGATGTGCTGATTATCTGCCGGGTTTTGCTGGGGGCTGGTGTGGGGGTGGGAGGCATCAGCCCATACAACACGCTGCACGAAGCCGCTTATTTTCACATTGTAACAACTTTGGAAACAGAGACCAGCGCGAGCGGCGTCCGCCCCCACCTCCACCTCCGCTGAAGCTGCAGCTTGCTCGGCTGTTTGTTTAACCCGGTGAAGATTTGCATGTCGCGTTTCACCCTAGAGTGGAGTTTTCTTGTCCCAGCTCCAATCCACTCCCACTCCAGACCGCCAGGGCCTAGAGGCTCGTCTGCAGGGCAAGTGCGCCGCGTTAAGAGGTAGGCTCCCCCTTAGTGTCCTGCTTTCACGGACGTGCCTGAGAAACCTTTCCAGGACTGTCACCCGGGAGGGTGGAGGACCAGGCCACACATGGACGCCTCCACATTTTGCAGGCTGGAAGCATCCTGAAGTCCTCCTTGGACCTTGTCAGTGTGAAAAGAGGTGTCCTCAAACAGAGCAAGGTGAAGCTTCGAGTCCCCCAGCAACCGCTGAACTGCTTGTTTTTCTCTTTCTTGGCCCCGCTTTCTCTTTCTTGGCCCCGCTTTCTCTTTCTTCTCCAGGTTAGCCAGAAGCTGTTTTTGAACCAGAAATACCAGCGCGCCCTCGGACAGACCTGGGCACTGGTTTTAATGTAGCACATACCCCACTAAACCCACACCCTGCTTCTTAGGGGAAAAAAAAAAAAAACTTCAACTATCAACCCCAAATGCTCGGGTGCAAAAGACGAGTTGCCCTGGAGCGGGTGCAAGTGACAAGGACGTGGAACTGTGCCTCCGTGTTTTCTCTCGTCTTTTGCAAGATCTCTTGACCCAACAGTACGACCAGCGTGGCGCTGCTCTCGGCCCTGTGATGGAGCCTGGGTGCATCTTGGTGCGCTCCGTGGGTGGGGACTATGTGGGTCGCTTTCTTGGATTCCTGTTAAAATACTTTTGCTCGGAATGGTTTGTCTTTTTTTATTTTTTATTTCTCTTTTTTAAGGTGGCGAAAGCACAGAGGAAGAGAAGGGACAGAAGAGAACGAGAAGGCTCTTGCGGCTGTCAATGAAGTGCTGTGCCCTGGGAGATTGAGGTGGAAATAGGGGTGGGGAGGTGTGAAAAGTCTCTGGGGGACGCGGGGTGGAGGGTGGAGGAGAAATCGGGCCGCCTGGAAGAGCTGGAAAGCCCAGCAGGGGGACCCGGGAGCCGTTCCCAACAGGTGACTTCTGTCCTGGAAGAAGACACTGGCCCTCGGCTTCCCATAGAGTCTCCGCGTGGATTTACTAATAGAGGGATTGTTAAGTGGCAGCGAGGCGTTTCCGACTCACCCTGTGCAGCCTGGGGAGGAGAAGCCCCGAGGTTTCCCCTGTCCACCTCCTCCCCCACCCCCAACACACCCTCTCCTTAAGGAAACCTGACAAAGTAATAAATAAGACAATCCGAAAAGCCACTTAGCACTAGTGACATTTTCAAGCCAACCATTTAAAACAGTTCTTGCAAGCACCTCGGGCTCCCGGCGCCCTGCTCGCCTTCCTCTTCTCCTCCTCCCCTTTGCTTCTCTCCCCTCCCCCTCCCGCCATTTCCCCGTAGTTCCAGCTGTCAGACTCTAGACGTGGGCACTCGCATATTCCTTTAGATAACACGCGTCTGCATCACAATAAAAGTTAGGGAAATCTTCCAAACGAATGCAGGCAAACACCCGGGCCACTTCAACTCTAAATTGGGGCCCCAAGGAAATCTTTCGGAGGAAGTCCAGATTTTTTTCATCTGACAGATTTTTTTTTTTAATCCTCTAAAAAATCTAGTTTTTAAACAAAGATCAATGTGTTATGCTAAAGTGTTGAGCTGACTGTTAAAACATTTGGGGAAATAATGACAATGTAACAAAGGCCTGGTTTGGAGTGAATCATCACCCTTTTAAAAGTTAAAGCAATTTTCAGGAGAATAGCTTTCAGCAAACGCTTTACATTATTCAAAACGGCCAAATAATGCTCTATTATAGCGCCTGAATGCTGCCAGTCAGCCCCTAAGTGCAATTTGTGCAAAGGCCCCGGTGCCTTATCTCCACTTCTTTATAAAGAGGTGAATATAAAACAATTTCTTCCAAACCCAGACAGAGAGCACGAAAATTGCTTCCCTTTCTGCAATCAGGGCAATTTAACTGGAGTGCAATTAGCACTATTAAATGTCGATTCTGCATAAACAAATCTGACTGAGCAGCGAAAGTGGGGTGAGAACCTCATATACACTGAAACTGATTTTTTAAAATTATGTATCCGGGTCCTTTACAATTGATCTGTGACGTTTTCATCTTGGAATATATTTACATCATAAATACACTATGGTTAAATCAACATAATTTTTTTGCAAAAAATTTCAATACGAATCCTAATAAGGAAGAATAGGGTAATTAAAGGGAAGAGTTCACTTCCTTTGAACAAATATTGTTTCTCCCATCTTGCCTCTCCCGAAAGCTTTGATCTGAGCAACTGCTCAAGTTGCTGTGTTTAGAAGGCAAAGCCAGGGAAACAATTCAGTCATTAGCTCTGATCGGAAGGATTGGACCTCCTAAGCCACAGATAAAATGCTTCTCCCTCATGTGCAGGAAGCAGAGTGGCAACTGGGAGGACCAGTTATTTTCTGAATAACTCGATATACTAGCTGGTTAAATATTAGGTGGCTACCCAGTCTCCCCGGCGCTTTAACCTGGCAGAATTTAGCAGCAGATATTCGCCACTGGGGTGGGGTGAGGTGGGGTAGGGGGAGGTGAGGTGGAGTTGGAGGACTCCAGAATACCATTGAAGGGGAGGCGTTGGGGGAGGAGGAACGGAAAATGTTTGCCTTGGCCAGACTGGCTACAGCCAGTCAAAGTCTGGACCACCAGGACCAGGAGGCCTGCGGGGTGGGGGGTGATGGGAGCCCAGCCTATAAAAATCTGACCTGTCCTCTCAACTGCCTTTATTTATTTCCTAAGCCACAGCGCTCCTTTTTAAATCATTTGTGCAATTAATTATGCTTTTCATTTGCATGATCTTCACTAGAGCAGTGATTATCAGGTCAGCACCGTGTGGGAGTAGGGGAGATACATTAATAACTTGAGTTAAAAAAAAAAAAAAGAAAAAGCTGCCCTTGTGTACCCACGTTGCCTGCCATGAGCAAGGAAGAAGGAAGCCCAGGAAGGTCCATAATGCCTGTTGAGTCGGGTGAATCCTTCCCACAGTTGGAGTCTTGTCAGTGGGTGAAAATGAAATACAGCCTTTGATTAGAAGGAAATCTTTTATAGTTAACACATATTTATATTTTTTTAAAGCACCAGTTGTTGAGATCAAATGGATGGAGAAAATTAATTGAAAATTAAGAAACTCTCCCACAGTTTCTGTTGAGCTTTCATTTCGTATTTGTTTTATAATGTCCTAATTCCAGCCCAGCCCTTGCAAATGAAAGAGCCAGGAAGAATCAATAGGCCAATGGGACTTTCATCTTTTTTTCTGTATCTCAGAGGCGTCACTGCCATTTAGCAGTGGTAGAAGATGCAAATCTTTCTTGCCTCTGTAGGGTCTGCTGAAGAAATTGAAAACCCCTAGTCTATTAAGAACAGTCCAAACGTTTGTTACATAACTAATTTTCTGCTGCTAGATGTATCTGGGCCATATATTTTAAGCTTGCCCCGATCTGTTTATCTGAGCCAAAAATGCATTAACAATTAAGGGAAAGGCTGGTGTGTCAAAGGAAGGAAGGTGACTGTAGACTGTGTGATGATTTTAATGACTGCAATTATTGGAAGATTATTCAACAAGCATCATGGATTTGTTTACTGCATCACTCGGAAACTATGGGGGGCCTATTCAGCTTGGGGTTTTACTTTCCTCCCTCCCTCACCAACTACCACAGAAGGGTCTTAGACCTAAGCAAATGCAGCATTCTGTAGTGCCTTTCTTTTTTTTAAGAGCATCTCTACCAAAATGATGCACATGTATTGTCTCAGCCAACTCTAATGGAACTTTGGAGATGTTAAAGCAATCTTTTCACATAGACTCTAATATCAAGAAAAGCCAGAGGCCAGAGGATTCTGATCATTAGTCAGCTTCTCCTAGCCAGGGTACCAGTTTCCTCAGTTTTAGCCTTTCATAGGCAGGTTTGAGGAGGCTTCCAACTCTTTCCTTCTCCCTCCAGGGCTTGGAAAAGGCATTTTTTTTAAAAGATGTTAAACAGGAGAGTAGGCATACCTCCAGGACTCTCTTGGATAGTCTGGCTTTTCCTTCCTTGCTGTTAGCACATCCCTCCCCCATAGTTATTTCCTATCACAACTCCTGGTGTTGCTCTGTTAAAAATAAGTAAAAAAAAAAAAAAAGTATGGCTAAAAGCATATCAGTTTGTAACTAAGGAAGTTTTTACTGTAAATACAAACACAGGGGATGCAAGTAAGGAAAGTTTCTTCTCTGATGTTAACAGAATGATCCTCAGTCCACAATAATCTATAAATCGCCACATGGGCTTTGCTCATTCATCAGTGACTGATTTAGAAGGGAGATTGGGGAAAAAATGAACAGCAAATAGCCCCACTAACACCCCCTTTCTTCCCTCCCCTGTAGAACTGAGACTGGAGTAACCGCGCCATCTAGACTTTCTTCCTGGGATCTGTAATCGCCCAGCCTCAAGCCTTAAGATGGACTTGGCTGGAACCTTCCCTGTTCAAATGTGAGCCTGCAGGATTCTGCAAGTGGCAATTAGGAGCCTACTACAAGCCATTAGATTGATCAATGTACCTTAAACAATGTGAATGATTTGTATCACTGATTTATACCGGAAGAAAAAGAAAGCGGGGGACGATTTCATCTTTACATCCACAGGCTGTTCCGGAGAACAGGGCCCAGCCTCTGGTTCATCGCAGCTTAGAACCACCCAAGCGATTTATCTAGAAAACTTTTCAAGCAAAGACAAGGTCCTCTCAGCTTGTCCGGTGGGTGGCGAGGTGCACGTTCTCTGCCCCTCTCTCTGCTTTCTAAGGAAGAGCTTAGAAAGACCAAGGCTCCGAGGGGCAGCCGAAGGTCACAGAGGCACCACTCTCCTAGCCAAGGACACCACCCCGAGCGGGCCCAGCTGCCTCCTTCCCTAGAGTCTGTCCACAGAGAGGGGGAGGACGACTTACATATTTGTTTAACGGAGTGTTGGAGAGCTGCGTGGCCTCCTAATTACGTCAGGAACACAGAAGTTTCCAGCGAGACTTCAGGAGGAGCGGCGACCCGACTCCGGGCGCGAGATGACGCGGGGGGTAGGGAGGGAGGGGACTCCGCAGAACAGAACTCCATGCTAGGGCTGGCGGTTCCAGCTAATCTATCTGGCGAAGACAAAATTACAACAGAGCTGGAGGGATCAAAGCTGCCCCCCGCCCCCACCCCCGCCCGCCCGCCTTCACAGCCCAAAGTCTGTTTGTAGTTGTCTTCTCGGCTGCAGACATTCGTCCATCTTCTCACAACAAGGAAATTCCTGCCAGTTTTTCCAGAGCCTGCAAGGAGAGGACAGACGCACTTCACCCGTCCCAGAGGAGGAAGATTCCCTTTGTTTAACCACCTTCTTCCACAGTCGGCCTTCAGCTCTGAAATGCGGGAGGGGGACAGGGGATGGAAAGACCCTGGGCGTGGAGGGGCGGTTATAGCAGAACCCCGGGTCCAACTCTGCCCTGCTGGTCCCTCCTTTTCCTCCTCCCTCTTCTCTTTCCAAGCTTCTTCCTCCCTCCCTCCCTCTCTTCCTGCCGCCCTCCTTCCGATCTTCTAGATCCTCTTCCCACCCAAGTCCTCTCCCGAGCTCGCAAGCCCAGAGCCTGGGCAGGCTGTGTTTATTTCCCGGCCTTCGTAGTTTGGCGGGAAAGGGCTTCGTCCCGGCTTGTTCGTGAGTGTCTGGGACAAATCCTTTTGTTTGCGTCTAAATGTGGAATGGGAAGCCTTCCAGGTTGATAATGGGGCGCAGAGAGAAGAGGGAAAGAGCAGAGAAGCAACCTGCGTGTGTCTTTTGTAGCCAGTATGCGATGGTAGCCAAGGGCTTGGAACCCCTTCCAAATGGATCATGACTTCACACACACACCCGGGTGTGCTCATCTGTCTTTTATTATCCATGTTCCACTCCTGGGTTCTTTTCTAAGTTAGTTCCTTTCAGTTCTCTCCTTCCTAGAACCTCTTTTCAGAACCCTACAGTTCAGTGAGAAGGGAAGAAAAAAAAGATAGGTTCTAAGACTCCTCTCGAGGACCACGGCACCCCCGTGACATATCCGGAAACAGGCCAGCTCTGGGCCCACGCGTTCATGCTTTCTTGATTTCCGCCACTGTAGAGCGCAACCCTGACAATGGGACTTCCCTGTTACACCCACGCCCTTCCAGAGTCCGGACCGATACCCTCCGCCCTGACCCGCTTCCTGGAACGTTGACTGGAGGGTATACGTAGGGGTAGAGGAAGCTCTGCGCACTTTAGACACGTGCGCCTCCCCCTCGCCCCGCTGCCACATGCAGAATGTACACTTATGACAAACAGACACACTTACCCAGGCACATGCCAGCGGCGTCCATCCTCCTTCCCAGGCAGGCATCAGCAAGCGAGACGGCCTTGAGGCAGGTGCCATCGCTGCAGGGAGGTTGGCTCCGAGCTCCAGATGTCTCCCTGGGAGTCGGGACATTCAGGTCCCCCAAAGCCAGATTCCAGCCTCCCGGGCCGGGTGGCTGAAGACCTTAACGAGGCTAGGCGTCCCCCTCCGCCTCCCGCTGTGCTCCCGCGACGCTTCCTGCTCTGCACGACCTCCGCCGCCGCAACTGCCGGAGCGCCCCTCTCCGAGAAGCCCTCTGCCCGCCGCACGCAGCCCATAGGCTCCGCTACATCTGGGATGCATTGCCCCTTAATTGTCAACCCTATTATTGTGATCAAGTGAACGTTACTAATCTCTACATTTATTATTTAGGTAAATAGAGGCTGCATTTAATCAATATGCAGGGCCCCAGCTCTCGCAGCGCCAAGTAACTTAAGTCAACGGTGAAGATTTCAGTGTGTGCGTAATTACAGAGCTCGCGGAATCTTCACTCCAGCTCAATTCCACGTCTCTTCGCCGACCCGCGGGAGAGGGAGGAGGGAATGCGAGGAATCTCCACCCTCCAATGGGTCGAGGGCCGGCTCCTTCAGGGCAAGCAAATGACTTCGTGGCGTTGACACCGCGCGCCAGGCCCGCGCCCTCAACTGAGCGCGCTGCGAACGCGGGGGCCTGAGGCGGAGCTGGGAATTGCCCCCGACTGACTTCCGAGCGGCAGAATCTGACGCTCTGCACCCCCACTCTACCGCTTCTGGACCCCTCCCCTCCCAAATCTGCCTCAGGGAGGTGGGTGGTTCCCCATTTGGTATTCCCCGGCAGGCGGGAAAGCGGGGGCGGGGCCCTAGAGGTGGGTTGCCCCAAGTTCCCAACGCCCCGGCCCCAGCACGCAGGCTCCCTCTTCTCCACCCCAGCTGAGGGGAGCAACAGAGTTCCTTGCCCGCGGGGAGCTCCCTAGAATGCCACGCTTGGGCGTGCAGAGCGCGGGTTATTTTGCGCTTCTTTTTAAATAGCTATAGTTTCCTAATTTAAGGGGACCTTCTCCAGGCAAGAACCTCAGGGATTCACAGCAGGGGGTGGGCAGGTCTGGGGAGGTGGTCGGATCGCTCCGGCTAGTCAGTTCCTGAATGTAGCCTGGCACTGGGAGTGGTCACAGAGTGAGGGCCTCTTGGTCTCGGCGGGGGAAGGGTTAGCTGAGAATCTTCCGGGCGGCGGCAGAAAGAACCGGACCCCCCCACACACACCCTGGAGTGGGGCCCAAGAAGCTGATCCTCAAGTTTGAGATGCCAACACTTCTCTTTCGGCAACTCCGTCGTCGCAAGTTTCTCTTTCTCCTGGTGCCTCTTTCTCCGCTCCATTCCTGCACAAGTCCGCCATAAACAATCAATAACTTCATTTGTAACCAGATACCCGCCTTGCATGGAATTGTCCGGCTTTATATAAGCAGGATTCCAAGGTCAACTCATCATTTGCAAGTTTAGAGTGCCATTGCAACCTCCCAACTAAATTACAGCTGAAGTTTGAAAAAAGGACCCACGGTATTTGATGGCAGCTGGCTGTTTTTAATTTTCGGAATTGAATAGTTTTCGTATAAGGTATCTCTCCCTGCTTTCTTCTTCCCTTAAGTTGAATAGCATTTGGAACAAGAGGGAAATGAAACACAAATGTCAGCGCAATCCCGAAAACCTTTGTGTTTCTATTACTACATTCAGAGCCTCCCCTCTGCCGGGCCCAAGCTACTCCCAAGCCGGTAACCCTCCTCATCAGCTAGGCAGACCTCTTTACCACTCGGTTGCAAACCAGTGCGGCCTCTGCCTCTACAGGACAGATGAATATGGTGTCAGACTCTTTTAACTGGGAATGTCAACTTAAACTTTTCTGGGTGGCAGTTGTTTTTACGCTAGGATAAGGAAAAGAAAGGCAAGAGAGCTGATAGCCAGAGTTCCTGGGTAAGCACCAGCCCTTTGGAGGTCTCAGGAGCTGGGTGTGAATTGAGACCCACTCTTAACAGTGCTGTGACCTTGGGCGGGCCTTGAAACTTGTGTTTCCTCCTCTCTAAAATGAAGCTAATAATTTCAACTTTGAAGGATTGTTATGAAGGTTAAATAAAACTATATAGGGAAATTCCTAACAATGTGCTCAATACTTATTAATAGTTGAGCTAAAAAAGTTCTTGCCTTCCATTTTCCACTGAAATAGCATTCCCAGCTAAAACTTACTGTGAAACTAAACACAAAGCCAACAGCCGCTATCAAACAGAATTTTAGTGTGTGTGTGGGAAGCACAGGGACTAGTACAGGAGCAAGGTTGGATGAGGATGCATGCAATGACAGCTTGCAGCTGTCTGATTTGGAAGGCGTAAGGTTAGCTGCTCCAGTCAGCAACACATTTCATGGTCTGGCTTTCAGAGTTCTGCAGGAGAGGAAGAGGAGGCCTTGTCTCTAAAAGTAGTAATAGCTAGTATTTATTGATCGTTTATTATATACAAGGCATTCTGCCAAGTGCTTTACACACAGCATCTCATTTAATCCACACAATAATCTTACCAGGTATTCCTGATACCTTTTAAAAACTTTTATTGTAGAAAGTATCTGCTGGGCACCGTGGCTCAAGCCTATAATCCCAGCACTTTGGGAGGCCAAGGCAGAGCATATCCCTTGAGCCCAGGATTCAAGACCAGCCTGGCAACATGGAAAAACCCTGTCTCTACAAAAATTACAAAAATTAGCTCAGCATGGTTGTGTGTGTCTATGGTCCCAGCTACTAAGGAGGCTGACATGGGAGGATCAATTGAGCCTGAGAGGTCAAAGCTGCAGTGAACCATGATTGCACCACTTCACTCCAGACTGGGTGACAGAGCAAGATCCTGTCTGAAAATTGAAAAAAAAAAAATCAAATACTTATTTAGAAGTAGAGGTAATATTTTAATGAGCCCCTCTATTTCCATCACCCAGTACCAACATTTGTCAGCTTACGGCCAAACCTGTTTCATCTCTATCCCATCCATTTCCCTCTTCCTTATTTTGAGGCAAATCTCAGATATTATATTATTTTATTTGTAAATATTACGGTATGTATCAAAATGTCAAAAAATAACACCAAAAATCCTCCAAAACAATGTTATTCTGTAATTATACCTAAACACATTTGAAATAATTCTTTAATATTATTAGATATCTAATCAACATTCAAGTCTCTCCAATTGTCTCATAAATGATTTTTTAAATTTTTTTCAAATCAGATTTAAACATACACATATAACATTTAGTTAATATGCCTCCCAGTGTCTTTTAATCTATAGGTTCCTCTCTCTCTTTTCCTTTCCTTGCAATTTATTTGTTGAGGTAAGTCAGTCATTTGTTTTGATATCCACCTCCCCTACCCCCACCCTGTTTTTTTTTTAAGAGACAGGGTCTGACTATGTTTTCCAAGCCAGGCTCCAGTTGCTATTCATGGGTGGGATCATAACTTACTATAGGCTCAAACTCCTGGCCCCAAGGGATCCTCCTACCTCAGCCTCCCCAGTAGTGGGAACTACAGATGCACACCACAGCCCTTGGCTGATATTCTTTTCATATTTAAAGTATTTATTTATTTAGAAACATGGTCTCACTCTGTGGCTCAGGCTGGAGAACAGTGGTGCAGTCACGGCTCACTGCAGCCTTGACCTTCTGGACTCAGTGGATCCTCCCATCTCAGCCTCCCAGGTGGCTGGTACTACAGGCACATGCCACCATGCCCAGCAATTTATTTATTTGTTTGCTTTTAGTAGAGACAGGGTTTCACCATGTTGTTCAGCTGGTCTTAAACTCCTGGGCTCAAGCAATCCTCCCACCTCAGCATCTCATAATGTTGAGTTTACAGGCGTAAGCCACTTTGCCTGGCCTTAATCTTTTTATAAATAAATAAACTCAGAGAGGTGAAAAAAATTTAGTAGGGGATAGAAAAGGAATTTAGTCCAAGATATGACCAATTCCAGAATCCAAGCACTTAATGGCTTTATTATATTCACTTTAAATCAAGTGATGAAAACCAAGACAGAAAAAATACAATCACTCATAAAAGATTTCAGAACATGCATGACTCCCCCAAGTAACCAGTTCCTTTACCAAGTACTCATGGAAAACTGTTCACTTAAAACCCAGGCAAGGCTTGAAATGCGGGAAGAGAAATTGAAAACAGAATAACCCACTGTCCACCTTATGTTTTGAATCTGACTAAATAAATCCTGCATATAAATGTATCCATAACTTAAAAGAATTTTTACTTCCAACAAATATTTAGCAAGGCAAAAACATTTCTTAAACAAATCTATCAGTTTTTTTTCTCCCTTTTCCTTCTTTTCTGCCTGTTCTTCCTTTCCCTCTGTTCTCCATAGCTAAGATAAGGAGGAAACATCTCTTTCAAGCAGTTATTTTAAAATACCAGTCAAATTAACAATTTGGTAGTTTGATATGTGATATCTGGGCTTTTGTTATGGTAGTTTTGAAACCACAGTTGCCCTAGCAACTGAATACATTTTTTCTTTAAGAAAATTTTTAGCTGTCTGAAGGAGAAAAAAAAAAAGAAAGAAAAAGAAAACTTCTTGCCAGAATTTTCCCATAATAGCTTCCATTAACTGCAGTGACTTCTATTGGAGAGGCCAGCACTGCTGTCTCCTGCTGTCACCAGTCATTCACTGATCTAGCAGATGTTTTGTTTGATAAGGCCAATTTGAGCTTTATAAAACATTTATTTTTTTCACCTCCAAGGAGCAAATACCAGTAAGGATAGATTTCAACATTGATCACTGGATACCATACCAGGGCCTCAACCTGCCAGTGGAGCTTATAGGTGAGAAGAAAAACTTAGCAAGAGGCCAGGCACAGTGGCTCATGCCTGTAATCCCAGCACTTTGGGAGACCAAGGTGGGCAGATCACCTGAGGTCAGGAGTTCGAAACCAACCTGGCTAACATGGTGAAACCCCATCTCTACTAAAAATACAAAAATTAGCCAGGCATGGTGGCACATGCCTGTAATCCCAGCTACTGGAGAGCCTGAGGTGGGAGAATTGCTTGAACCCGGGAGGCAGAAGTTGCACTGAGCTAAGATTGCACCACTGCACTCCAGCCTGGGCAACAGAGCAAGGCTCCATCTCAAATAACAAACAAACAAACAATAAACAAACAAAACTTAGCAAGAGGAAAGAGTGAACAGAAGAGCCAATAGTCTATTTTAGAATCTTTCTGGTAATACCAGGTAACTGTGCAGTTGCCAAAGAGGGCAATGATGCTAGTTAATGAGAAAAAGGAAGAAAAAAAGGAGTGATGGACATTGCATTGAGTTTTGTAGGTTTTATAAACCACGGGTTGGCAGTTTTGAGATGGAGTCTTGCTCTGTTGCCCAGGCTGGAGTGTAATGGTGCAATGTTGGCTCATTGCAACCTCTGCCTCCCAGGTTCAAGAGATTCTCCAGTCTCAGCCTCCTGAGTAGCTGGGATTACATGCATATGCCACTACGCCTGGCTAATTTTTGTATTTTTAGTAAAGACAGGGTTTCACCATGTTGGTCAGGATAGTCTTGAACTCCTGACCTCGTGATCCACCCACCTCAGCCTCCCTAAGTACTGGGATTACAGGTGTGAGCCACTGTGCCGGGCCCATGGGTTGGCATTTTAAGGAGGTGAAGTAGATAAGACTCAGCAAGGAAAAAAAGATGTACATTAGGACTTCTTGAAGCACCTAGACTCAGTGTTGGCGCAAATATTCACTTGCTTCTGAACGAAATCCCTTTCACAGTCATGCTTGTAATATAGACAGCTCTATATTTCTTTTCTTAAAAACACACACAAACTGATTTTACAAAAATATCCATATCCTTTCTCTTGAATAGGTTTTAAGACCTGGGGCTGTGGTGTAGGTAAATCAAGAAATGGCAAAAGAAGCACAGGGTAGTTCTGCCTCTGTTAGTAAGATACTGCTTTTTGTAGGCCTCCTGGGGCTCATTTATTTAGTCATTGTGCAGAGGACCGAAAGAAGCCAAAATCCAAAACAGGAGGCTATCCTTTGCAATATAACGGCTCAACAAAGTTTGAAAGAATGAAGATTCTCATTCTTGGGATTTTATTTTAGATTGCCCTACCTACCTAAGTATACTATTTTGACTTGAGGAATTATATTTTAAGCCAAGGTAAGAACAAAAAAAAGAAAGAAAGAGGACCAACTATTTTTGCAGAAAGTATAATTTTTCTATAGTAAACTCACCCCACACTAACTCTCTCTCTCCCTGTCTCTCTCTGTATATGTGTGTGTATACATATATATGTAAAGTCCTAATGAGCACATTTCTCTCTAAGGCAAAATAGAAAAAGAGAGCAAAACCAACAAGATTGGTTAGGCCTTTTTCTTTCCTTTTTTTTTTTGGCTCACTGCAACCTTCGCCTCCCGGATTCAAGCGATTCTCCTGCCTCAGCCTCCCGTGTACCTAGGACTACAGGCGCACACCACCACACCCGGCTAATTTTTTGTATTTTTAGTAGAGTCAGGGTTTCACTGTGTTAGGATGGTCTCGATCTCCTGACCTGGTGATCCGCCTGCCTTGGCCTACCAAAGTGCTGGGATTACAGGCATGAGCTACCATGCCTGGCCAGGACTTTTTCTTAACGACTTAAACTATTAAAGGAACTTGCTACTTCTTTATTGACCATCTGCAAGATGTTATACCTGGGTTACATTTTCATTCTTGAATCCCACTCCTATGTAAGATCTAAAACTGGAGAATGGCTCTCCAAAGGAAAATCTTGACACTGTTAGCATCAGAAGGGGGACTGGGAAGAGAAAAGTAAAAATGTTAACTACAGATGGCAAAAAAGAAAGACAAAATCATATTGATTAATTAGAAGAACTGAGGAAATATGGAATGAAGGATTGCTCTGAAGTATTTAAGCAACAGTAATAACAGACATCACTACCAGAATTAGAGAGCTGTGCAGTAAATTCAGCTCGCTTCTGGTCCTTATCCCAGTTCTTTTCTGTTCCAACATGCTCCTTATTTTGAAATATAATTTGAAGCTCACAGGAAAGTTGCTAGAATCTTAAAAAGAAACATTTCTGTTTATCTTGTAGCACATTCACCAGGTTTTAACATTTTGCCTCATTTCCTTTGTTACTCTCTCAGAAGATTCGGATTTTCAAAGAAGAAATGGGTTTGGTTTGAGACCAATTTAAGTTTGAGAGAATGATGGAATGTCTATGCAGAAAAGCTCGGCCAGGCACGGTGGCTCATGCCTAGAATTACAGCACTTTGGGAGGCTGAGGCGGGTGGATCACTTGAGGTCAGGAGTTCGAGACCAGCCTGGCCAACATGGAGAAACCCCGTCTCTACTAAAAATACAAAAATTGGCTGGGCATGTTGGCTCATGCCTGTAATCCCAGCACTTTAGGAGGCCAAGGCAGGTGAATCACAAGGTCAGGAGTTTGAGACCAGCCTCGACAATATGGTGAAATCCATCTCTACTAAAAATATAAAAATCAGCGGGGCGTGGTGGCATGTGCATGTAGTCCCAGCTACTCAGGAGGCTGAAGTGGGAGAATTGCTTGAACCTGGGAGGCAGAGGCTGCAGTGAGCCGAGATCATACCACTGCACTCCAGCCTGGGTGACAGAGTGAGACTCCATCTCAAAAAGAGAAAAGCCTAGCAGACTGAGAGTCAAGGATCTGGAACTCAAGAAAAAGACTACTCAGAAAGATAAAAATATGAAGAAAAAACTAAGTGGAACTAATTTGTTTGAGGACGTGGTTTTTGAGGAAAAGCCTAATTCTGAAAGACAAAAGGTCTAGTTCTGGCCAATGAAAAGGCATGGGAAACTATTAATATATCAATTGTAACTTTTTCATATCTTGGTCCACTTTAGGGTCATCTGCTATTATTCTTATTTTACATTTGAAGACTACTTTGAAAATACATGAGGCTAATTGTATGGTTTTATTCAGAAATTTATAAGAAATTGGAAGTCTTGTCATTAATATAGCTTTTAGGTAACATATGTTCCAGTTACCATTGTTGTGTGACAAATTACCCTAAAACTTAGTGGCATAAAATGACCATTCTATTATGTTCCCAGATTCTCTGGGTCAGGAATTCAGATTGGGTACAGTGGGTTTGGATGGTTGTCTTCACTCCATCATATCTGAAGCATCAGCCAGATAGACTCAAAGGCCAGAGGTAACCCAACAACTGGGGACTGAAATCATTTGGCTATGACTTCACTCACTTATCTGGCAGAGGATGTTGGCTATTTTTTTTTGAGATGGAATTTTGCTCTTGTTGCCAAAGCTGGAGTACGATCTTGGCTCCCTGCAACCTCTGCCTCCTGGGTTCAAGAGATTCTCCTGCCTCAGCCTTCCAAGTAGCTGGGATTACAGGCGTGGGCCACCACACCTGGCTAATATTTAGGATTTTTAGTAGAAACAACATTTCACCATGTTAGTCAGACTGGTGTGATCTGCCCACCTTGGCCTCCCAAAGTGCTGGTATTACAGGCGTGAGCCACCATGCCTGGCCCAAATGCTGCCTTTTAACCAGGACACCTACCATGTAGCTCTGCATAGGCCAGCGCAGGCTTCCTTACAGCATGCAGCTGAATCCCTGTATTGAGGGTCCCAAGACAGCAAGATGAAACACTTGGCATTTTTGTGATCTCGCCTCAAAATTTACATAGCATCACTCTCCAGTGTATTTTTTTTTATTGAGACAGTTGCAAATGTTTGCCCAAAGTTAAGGGGAAAAGACATAAACTCCACTTCTCCATAAGATAAATGTTAAGGTCACATTATAAGAAGAGCACTTGGAAAAACAGATTCTGTTTCAGCCACTTCGGGAAAATACAATCTGCAATAAAACATATATGAACACAAAAAGGGAGCATCTAACAAAGTGCAAAGAATATACATCTGAGAGGTATTTTTTACTCTCTATGGTAGTTGAAATTTAAAATATTTCCTCAAAGACTAAGATATAAGGAATAATTTTACATATACCCTATGTCTTCTTTATTAGGAATTATTTTCCATAAATGTCTTGAAAAAGTAAGATTGGCAGAGGTATTTATTTATTTATTTAGAGACAAAGTCTCACTCCATTACCCAGGGTGGAGTGCAGTGGCTTGATCTTGCCTCACTGCGACCTCCAACTCCCAGGTTAAGCAATTCTCATGCCTTAGCCTCTTGAGTAGCTGGGATTACAGGTACGTACCACCACACCAGGCTAATTTTTGTATATTTAGTAGAGACAGGGTTTCATGATGTTGGCCAGGCTGGTGTCAATCTCCTGACCTCAAGTGATCTACCCGCCTTGGCCTCCCAAAGTGCTGAGGTTACAGGCATGAGCTACCACGTCTGGCCGCAGTGTTTTGATTAACACTTTGCTGTTACATGTACAACTTAGTGGATTACAATTCTTTAAACATCTCATGAGCAGATGAACAGCAGCTCATGAGATGTCCCGAATTACAAAATCTATAGGAGTTTTCCATTTGGCTCAAAATTGAGGTGCTGATCTAATAACTTGATCACTCATATCTCTTTAAAATAAAATCTGATCGATGGCTTTAATAGAGAATTATTCATAATAGAAAAAATATTCAATCTGTCAGGTGTGCATTCTTTTTTATTAGCTCCCATTTCATGACATAATCCAAAGGTCTGGAATACTGGAAATCAGCCTGCATCTTTGAAAGAAACCTTAATACTTTACTTTGTTACTGCAAGTATTCTTTTCTTTTCCTTTTTTTTAAAATATGAAAAGAGATTGAGGAAATGTCTTAATGTTTGGTTAACAAATTAAAAACCCATGTTTAAGTGCTTTAATATTCTAGCCCTATTTCACCGTGTCATCAAGGGGTTGATTTACCAGCTGTAAAATTACTAAGAAACCTTTTAAATGTAGACCTGTTAACAATATTTGAATCTCTGTGCATATACTGTGATCTTCTGATAATGACTACATCAACTGTGACAGCTCATTGTAGCTTACCAGCACTAGCTCTGCATTCGCTGATGTATTTTCAGAGATCAGAGAAGGTAACAAGGCTGGGCTTGTTCCAGTATTTAGTGCTTGTTATTCATTCAATATTTCAAGTCTTTTCCAGCCTTCGCCAAATCCTTTTTGCAAACCATATGAACAAAACAGTCCTTTTTTTTTGAGACAGGGTCTCATTCTGTCACGCAGGCTGGAGTGTAGTGGCATGATCACAGCTCACTGGAGGCTCAACCTCCCCAGGCTCAACTGATCCTCCCACCTCAGCTTCCCAAGTAGCTGGGACTATAGGCACATACCACCATGCCCAGCTAATTTTTGTAATTTCTTTTTTTTTTTTTTTTTGAGACGGAGTTTCACTCTTGTTGCCCAGACTGGAGTACAATGGTGCAATCTCGACTCACTGCAACCTCTGCTTTCCAGGTTCAAGTGGTTCTCCTGCCTCAGCCTCCCAAGTAACTGGGACTACAGGCATGTATCACCATGCCTGGCTAATTTCCTTTTTTTTTTTGAGACAGAGTCTCACTCTGTCACCAGGTGCTAGGCTGGAGTGCAGTGGCACAATCTCGGCTCACTGCAACCTCCGCCTCCCGGGTTCAAGCAATTCTCCTGCCTCAGCCTCCCGAGTCGCTGGGACTACAGGTGCATGCCACCACGCGCAGCTAATTTTTGTATATTTAGTAGAGACGGGGTTTCACCATGTTGGCCAGGGTGGTCTTGATCTCTTGACCTCGTGATCCGCCCGCCTTGGCCTCCCAAAGTGCTGGGATTACAGGCTTGAGCCACCACGCCTAGTCTAATTTTCCATTTTTAGTAGAGATGGAGTTTCTCCATGTTGGCCAGGCTGGTCTCGAACTCCCAATCTCAGGTGATCTGCCTGCCTTGGCATCCCTAAGTGGTGGGATTACAGGCATGAGCCACTGTGCTTGCCCCAATTTTTGTAATTGTTTTTAGAGTTGGAGTTTTGCCATGTTGCCCAGGCTGCTCTCGAACTCCTGGGCTGAAGTGATCAGCCTTGGCAGTCTAAAGTGCTAGGATTACAGGCGTGAGCTACAGCATCTGGCCAGAACACTACTTTTAAGAACCAAGAAACTGATATATTTGAGTAGCCAATCAATTATGAAGGCAGAAGAGATGTGTTGACTGTATAGCAAGGGCAGACCAAGGGAAAGGAGTTTTGAAAGTTGAACATTTTCATCTTAAAACATTAAGTTTGGTTGGGTGCTATGGCTCATCTCTGTAATTCTAGCAAATTACAAGAGAATCACTTGAGGCCAGGAGTTCCAGACCAGCTTGGGCTATGTAGTGAGATCCCATCTCTACCAAAAAAAAAAATATGTTTTTTAAAATTAGGGTGATGTGGTGGTGTGCAACTGTAGTCCCAGCTACTCAGGAGGCTGAGGTGGGAGGACTGCTTGAGCCCAGGAGTTTGAGACTACAGTGAGCTGTGATAGCCTCACTATACTCAGCCGGGGTGACAGAGCAAGACCCTGTCTCTAAAACAAAACCAAAAACCGAAAAACATTAAGTTTAATGGAACATTTCAGTTAATAGTTATGTTACAAGAGGAGGCCTTAGCTCAGAGCAAAGCCAGTTTTCTGTGTGTCTAGTTCTACCATAATTGAGCGATGAGGAACGACGTATACAGCAATGTATGTAAGTCAGGGTTTGTTTGGCTACAGGTAAGAAAGTAATCAGAAACCAAAATACAGAACATTGGCTTGAAGTGCAGAAAGTTTACTTCCAAACTGATATGGTGGCTTCATGGATCATCAGGGATCTAAGTGCCTT